TATGCGTACCGTACACCCCTACGGTAGCTCAAATCAACCGCCGTACTACGTCACCCCTCTGTGGTCACCGCATCCACCTATGGTAGCTCAAAGCTTCTGCCATCTTACATCACAGCTCTGTGTTCACTGGACCCATCTAGGGTAGCTGCCTATGCATGCCGTACACCCCTACGGTAGATCAAACAGCCATTGTACTACACCAAAGCTCTGTGCACTGTATACACCTGCAGTTGATCCTTACATGTACGGTACACCCCTACTGTAGCTCAAACACCCATCGTATTACATCAAGGCTCTGTGTTGACTGCACCCATCTACGGTAGCTCCCTATGCCTACCGTACACCCCAACGGTCGCTCTCCATGCGTACCGTCCACCCCTACGGTAACTCAAACCATCTGCTGTACGTACCCACCTACGGTAACTCAAATCGCCCACCATACCCGCCTGTGGTAACTCAAATCACCTGCCGTACTACAGTAAACTAAGGTAACTCAAACCGCCCAATGTACCCACCTACACCTATGGTAGCTCCCTACGCATACTGTACACCCCTACGGGAGCTCATATCAACCACCGTACTACATCAATGCTCTTTAGGCACCCCACTCACCTATGGCTGCTCCCACACAGCAGCTGCCGCTGCTAAGACTGCTTGCGCAACTGCCAGACTTTTGTGGCCAATCCAAGGAGCACAAGCTAGCAAAAAAATCGCAGATCAGAGCTCTGTGTGCAGAGAAACCACAGAACTAGGTAGCTGTAACTCCTTTACAGCTTGTCTGATGACTTTAAGTGAGCTGCGCTATGCCTGTCAGCCCTAAGAGAGCGCCGCTGGTGAGTGGCTGTAGGAATGTGTGGTATGTAACTTAGTTGCTGCTGCACACTCTTGCAGATTAAGCCGTGGCGCTCTTCAAAGGTTGAGTATCGAGACCATTCATCCAGGCTTGCAAATCAAGTGGATAGCTTGATTATGTCTTTATCTTCAGCACCTCCGGTCCGCCCATCGAGAGCTGGGTATGATGTAATCACCAAAGGCTAGATCCTTGTTGTGTGATGTCATGGGTGCACACCAAGCATTCAAGCTGGGTGGTTATGTCTTTATCTTCAGCACCTCCAGTCCGCCCGTCAAGAGCTGGGTATGATGTAATCACCAGGCACTGGATGCTTGGTTTGTGCTCTTGGAGACTGGTTGAACTCCGGGCCGTCTGTCCCGTGAGCTCCCTGTATGACGTCACTTCTAGCAGCCTGCAAACGCTGGGTTTGTTGCGTGCTTTATTGTCTGCTGCAGATTAAGTGCTCAACGGCCTGCAACCAAGCACTGTGCAAGGGGGGAGGTCCATGTACCACTTACATCCTACAGCAGCTTGATAGACTTGCTGACAGAGCAAGCCCTCTGTGAGCTGTTCTGCGAGCGCTTCCTGGGAGGTTTGCACAACTGCCAGACTTTGTTGGCCAGTTCAAGGAGCACCAGCTAGCAAAAAAATCGCAGATCAGAGCTCTGTGTGCAGGGGAACTGCAGAACTAGGTAGCTGCAACTATTTTACAGCTTGACTGATGACTCAAAGTGAGCTGCCTTATGCCTGTCAGCCCTAAGAGCAGCGCTGGCAAGTGGCTGTAGGTATGTGTTGCATAAAGGTAGCTTCTTGGAGCTGCTGCGGCATGTCCTTGCGGTTCAAGGCCTTCACGAGCCGCGTTGCAGAAGGTCTAAGGAGGTAGACCTTGCATTCATGCTACAAAGCAGGCATATAGCTGCTGGTGGTTATGTCTTTATCTTCAGCACCTCCGGTTTG